AAAGACTGTTTTGGGTGTATAGGGCTTTTTTTCAGTTCACTAATAAGGTAGCGCCGGTTATTAGCTAGGCTGCCCCTGCCGATGAAGTCTAATCACGCCTATGGTCATATCTAGTCATTTTTATTGTATTAATTGTATGTTGTTAAAAATACAACAAAAAATAAACCAAACCAAAGACTGTCCCGGTGGGTTATTTTACCATAGACCTTTTTGGGTAAATGTTTTCCGTGTTCAAACATTTTATTTGGAATTTCAAAATACAAGACTTTGGTAGGTTCTATTTAGAAGGTTTTACAAAAACAATTATTGGTACATTTTCAATAATATTTGAATATAACCTCATTGAATATATTTATTTTGTTCGTATACCCTCTGTAATGAAGTTCCACTTCAAAAAATTTCCAAAATGAATTACAATAATGAGTAATTCAAATGAGTTGGATTGATATTTTATTGTGCTATGATTACAATGATCACCATTAACTATAAAATGATTAAAATGGAGAAACAAACGGACAAATTAATGAAAATAAAATACCATATTACCTTGATAATATTGAACGCGACAGTGCCGAGTGGTGAAAATAACTGTGCTCTAAGTTTACTTCTAACCCGATTGTTGGTAAATATAATAACATACAATTTGAAAACTTACATAGGTACTTAAAATATGGCTATGGTGAACAACGTTTAAATATTAATTCCTTATTAGTTATTACCTATAACTATATACGTGTATTCCAATTTAAACGGAAAACAATTTTGATCAAAACGCAATACGTGCATGGAGGGTTCATGTTATTAGTATTTATTACATTCACAACAGGTAGGAACACATAAATGTAAAACAAAAATAATTAATAATATTAAGCTACAGTCATCTGGAATATTCGTTTAACCGATAAATATAATTGATTCATGTATAGGAGTCTACAAAGGTTAAACGTGAAATATAAGTATAATGTTATATGAACTAATATCACATACCGAACAATATTATACTTTTCAAGAGTCTCGATTATTCTCTACTTTTTATTATTTTTTTTAATAAATATGATTATCTACCAACAACATAATCAAAACATTTACTATTTGCATGATAGTACACCAATATATTTCCTACAGATTATTTCCTTGCTAAAAATTAATATTTTCTCGAAGTGAAAAGATAAAAATATACATAAGTTATTAGATCCCTACGGATCATATTATAAATGTTCATTGAAGACTGCAAGATGAAAATATAAATATATTCAAATTTAAATTCAAAATTCGCATTTAGATTCTTTTAGCTTAACATTGTACTAAAATGAAAGAGGCATCTTTAATGGTTATTCGGGGGAAAAGGGTGTCTTGGTGGAAGTAAACTCCTGCCAAGTAAAAGTATAGAATAGGGATGTGCTTAAAATAGAGGGATGAAATAAGGGGGGAGAAATCACACTCAAAGGCGTAAAAACAAAACAATTCGCGTTATAACGTATGCAAAAGCATCGCAATGCAGTGGCATTTAAAAGGAAAAAAATAATTTTACCGTACCTACACCATTAATTTATAGGCAGGCATTGCACCAGTTTGGAGCATAATTAAATGTCTGCCTAGTAAAGAGTGAAATTTTAATTTTAATAAATATGCCCGTTCTGAGTTGTACATTATAATAAACGTATACATACACAATATACATAATACATAATTTCCACATAACATGTATTATAATATTTACCATAGAAAACTTAAAAGAGAAATACAAAAATATTACGGCACACGCATAGATTCCTCGAAATAATGAAAAACAAACATTTATACAATTGAGGCGAATGAACGTTTATATTGTATTGTTGTTGATTTACTTAAGGGAGAATATTATTGTTTCATGTTATTATTTCAATCGGAAAACCTGAAATACGAGCGCCGACATACTTTACGTGACTTAAAAAAATATATTCATAACGCGTCCTAACAATTGATAACACGTCATAATAATATTATAATACGAGTATATACCTAGTTTATTTACTGTTCGTCCGTTTTTTGACCCTCGAGAAAAATGATATTATAGTAGGTATTTACGATGGGTACCCATTTATATATTTACACCTACGTGAGTTCAAGACGTCTGAAGAGCTGTCGTGTCTTCTCAGTTTCTCGAATTATATTGTTAACGCTATACTATAACCTACAATATTAATATAAAATATGTACTCATATAGTTGTCAAGCGTTCAACATAATAATACACAATAATACCACCCATTGGCCATTATTGTATCAAAATAATGACATTTTAATTGTTCCGATTTTAAATATTTTGATTCATACGAGACTGTTACAAAATAGGTATAGTAAATTTAAATCGGTATATTATATTTTATTTTAAACTTGCAATCATAAATATTTAAATTTATATTTAAAAGTACCTATTCACAAATCGATTTGAATGTAACATAGTTTTAAATTTATTATACTATAAGCTTTACAAAAATTCGAACAAATACAACGTTATCGAAAACTAATCCAATAAATAAGCATGATATTTGAAACTAAAGTGCTCGAACTTATACATGCTTTAAACTTTATAGGCAATACATTATACCTAATAAGATAATAAAAAAAGGCAACAAGTGTTTTTATAAATATATTAAAAATAAAAACTATGATTCAATACTATAAAATTTAAGAGAACAAAAGAAAAGCTATATAGCATGACTACTATACTATATAGAATATAGATAGCCAGTATAACATTTTGTTTATTTGTAGTAAAAATGTTAAATCAAGTTCTTCAATAAACATTATCGTTCAACATAATAAAAAAACATTTATTGATTTCAAATAAATTAATATATATTTTTAACCATTCACGTGGGGTAAAAAGTTAGATACTTAAATTGTTTTATACTAGTTTTATAAAAACATATAAGTACCAAACTTAGATTGGTTTTTGGAAATAATAACTCAATGCCAAGCTAAAGTTATAAAATTGTCCTAAATATATTAGAATCATAAAATATTCGAGACCTTAATATTACTATTGTCTATTGAGTATAAATTTGAAAACACAGGGCTTACCATGTAAATATAATATAATAAATAATTAGCTGACAGAGATACAGATATTATATTTACGTTGTCCAAAAAAGACACAGTGCGTTAATTTAATCCATTAACCACTGTTGTAAGATAAGTCTAAGAAAATATATAAATTTGTGAGCACACAAAGATCGATTGAATTTATATAAGAGGGAAGATTCTGCTTTAATAAAGTTCACTAAAAAAAATCATAATCAATATTCTATCTATCAAATTCACTGAGAATAAAAATAGTCTAAACACATTTTAAAGATTGAACAATAAACAAAACGAATTTTTTGCAACACTAAAATCAAATGTATTAAACATTCAAACTTCAAGGCCCTACATCAGCCCAGATCATATTATTGTAAAAACATATAAAATACGAAGGTGTACACTAAATATAAACCTGCATAGGCTTATGACTTATTTATACCTCGTGTGACTGTGTCTACTTTACCTTCTGTCATTTACATCCGCAGGGAGGAGGGGTCAAGTAGTGACAGTTTCCCCTTCAGATATTTTATCAATACAGTATTCACCGTTTTAATGGGTCAGATCAATTGTAATAACTCATGATAACTTTACAGTTAGCGACTTAGATACAAACATAAATAATATCCAAATCAACATTCAATATTATATTTTTTTCTTTCTGTATTTGTTCATTGAAACGACCTCAGGGTTTTTGTCAACGCTTATCACAAGTGGGTAGTAGGGAGTTCATGTGATCTATATTTATCTATGTATGTATCACTATATGTGCATGCTACTACAGTAGTACAGTACTACACCCCTTCTCCAAGAGGTGATATGTGTGATCTTCACTCCCAGTGGAGTGGGACCTAGTTGGAAACCGGAAATTGGTGATTGCTTAGAACCACATAAATAATTTCTAGCACATTGCTATGAATCGAACCGATGACTGTGTGAGTCGTAGTCAACTGCATGACCGCACTGCGCCAATCCTACTCCGAAAAATTCAATATTATATGGTTTTTTTTTTTCATTCAATAATTATGAAAGTATCTTGATTACTTAACAACAAACAATTGTTTTTAGTGAAATTTGTATTACTACCTATTTAACTTTTAATTTGTTATATTTTATTCAAGTTTTGAAGACGGTTGATAATTATTATTACAATTTAATACAGTAGGTATAGGTACTTAATGAAACATATACCTGTATAAGTAAAGGTAAGTAGTAACATTGGTTAAATATACATTATTGTATATTTAATCAATGGTAGTAAACGAGCCAAGTGACTTTTCTTAAATATAATATTTTATAAGTATATTATTATGAACTCTCAAATTAGAACAGCACCCCCCTCCCCCCCACAAAAAAAATGGTCCACCAGCAGCTGTGTTCAATACTAATGTACACGCTAACCCAAAGCCTCATCGTTATTGGCTGAAAATTGTCACATCGAATATTGGACCGTAAGAGCAACAAACATATCGATATTGAATTTATTTGTTTTTATTGTCTCTGGCTGATTTTCTTATATTCATGAGGGTCGATACAATACGATATCTTGAAAATAAGTTTGCACACTGAAACAGTGACAAAGATATGGGGCAGAATTGAGATTGCAGAGAGAGAGATGGAGAGGGAGAAGGAGAGAGAGAGAAAGGGAGGGAGTGAGATAGAAAGGCAAGAAAATACGAGAAAGACAAACGGCGATGCGTCGTAAAAACTGCAATTGTTTAACCATCGGAGTGGATGTTATATTTCATATTACATAACCAATACACATTACTAAGTATACTTATTTTTATATATATATATATATATAATATATATGTTGTAATGGTAACACTGTTGCCAGTATCTTTATTTATATATTATATTTATTACATATTTTGTATGATATACGGTCGTTGGATATATGTTCGACTATTATCATAAATACCATCTCTAAATACGATGACATCGACCAACTTATATGCACATCCACGCGAACATTTTTTGACCAAAATCGTTTTGGATGACTTGCAACCACCTGAGTATCTGGTACGGCTTAAACGCTCAGCGGACAGACGTAAACGCCACGCCTTGTATGTCAACGGTAAATTTAGTAGAACTAAGGTTGGTGGCACTCCCAGACATGAATCGACAACGAATCCCGGGTTAGGAATATTCCTGGGAATACAAAAAACTGTAAAAAAAAAAAAATGTATTTACAAGCGCACATCACATGTGACTATATTATTTTAATAATTTCAAAGTGTATTATAAAATCCTACTAATATTACAGGATGGTTATTCGTAATTAGGTACAATTTATATTATTAGCCTAAAAAGAGTAATTTTTTCAGAGTAAGGATCGATACAGCTATGTATACCACTCAACTACTGATAAAACCTTTTAGAGTAGTTTTTAGATTTGTTTTTATATTTTTAGCAGTATAAGTGCTTTTTATTTGGAAATGTAGCAAAAAACTTGAATATTTAAATGAAATCTACCGTTAATTAGCCTTATGGTGCGTAAACTTTAATTCGCTCCAACAATTTCTGTATGATTTCAGTGAATTCCCACACATCCCGGAAATTGTCCATTCCTAAGTAGAACAAATACGTTTGACTTCAAAGTATTAAGTAATGTTGATTGTAAATTTTAATCAGAATATAGTATAGGTATCTTCCTATAACAGAGGCGTATTTCGAAGTATTCAATTATTTCAAATATTAAAAAAAAAAAAAAGGGAGGGATTAAAATAGCTTTCCAAAAGCAAAGCCCCCTACAAACAACAACGGCCTTTAACAATTGTTATTAATTATTTTTCCAGTCAACTAAAAATGTAACAATAGGTTTACAATTTACGTTGGGTAGGTTGTCAAATACCAAAGTATGAATGGATCATATCCAGTCGATCTACACCCCCCCCCTCCCAACAAATATGTACTCCAATTTTACCCGAATCTCTGAGAGAAATATAATAATAATAATGTACAAATATTCAAATATTCAAAATACAGACGATCGTGTAAATAATTTTTGGCAGTCCATAGCGTCATTGGGCATGCGCGCATGTTATAGGTATTGTGTTTATTTTGTTCATGTTGAGAACATTCAGTGGCGTGGCGAACTAAAAATTTTCTAGAGGCCAGTTACAAATATCCCAAGTATTTATGCATAATAATGTATTAATGTAATATAACAAGTTATATTTCAGATCGTTATTGACTACCTATTGAGAATATCATATTCAATTTACTAGGGGACCCACTGGCTACCACCCACCCCTCTATTTAAGAAAAATTTCAGAGGCCAAGGCCTCTGAAATTACCGTTCGCCACGCCACTGAGAACATTACTACGTCATGTGGGTATAACTTTAAAGTGTAGACTTTGGTTGGTTTTTATTTTTCCTTCTCGATTTGGGATATACGCCAAGTGGACTCTTTGGCCAAAATGGTCGTCACATAATATTATAATCTTGATACCCCAGAAATGTTTACATAGTAGGTATCAAAATTATGGTTGATAATTATTATTCCGTAATAAAAATTGCGAATCACAAAATATGCACCTAGGTTATGTCAAATAAAATATAATTTACTAGCTGATCCCGTGCACTTCGTTGCCCATAAAGTGTATCAACTCTATATGACTCAAACTTTGTTCAATTTGTTATTTAATATTCAGTGTATGGTGTTCAAAATTTATCTTAACTTTTCCGTTGCTCGGAATAAAAATTCTGATTCTCAGCAGTACCTATATTATCAGATAGGCAATCTACCTGCGGTAGATCGCGGACCCCGTGATGTTTGTACGTGAATTTATAATTTAACTCTAAAGTAACAAAGTTATACCAAGTATGTTACTGAACTCCTCCTAAACGGTTGGAATAATTGTGAATGCCGAGTCTGTCGACCAATATTTCCTCCTCGTCCACGAATACTAGGCATCGTGATTGTTTTATGTACCATGTACTTAACTTATATGTGAGTATAATACGCTCAATATTCACGTGATTGTGATGCATAACACAGCGTAAAAAAAAATCAAATGCATTGAATGAATACACTTATTTCACGGCAACCAATAATAGCTTATAATAGTTTTAAAACCCATGGCAACCATTTATAAACAAAAATGTCCACCGTAAATCTCTAAATCCCCGTTTGAGCACATCCCCTGGTTGGACCTAGGGTGATAATTTGTAGCCTATGTGTTATTCTGATGTATAAGCTATATTATTGTAAGGTTTCATTAAAATCCATTCAGTAGTTTTTACGTGAAAGAGTAACAAAAATCACAAACTTTCTCATTTATAATATTAATAGGATTATTCGTTGCATAAAACCTACAGTGGGTACCTACCAAAGCTAATATTTTGTAAGCAAATGAGAATAATCATATAGTATTATTGTTGTCCTAACATTCATTAATTTGTACTTTACTTCCTTCCTTGATATTGCCGATATTGGACATTCAAGTATAATTAATTAAATATATATAATATATATATTAAATATAATTTATTGACATTTACTATTGAATATTGAAAAAAGTAAATTCAAGAATCTATAGTTGTTCTAAAGAAAAATATGACAGGCGAATACTGTTATTATTGTGTATATAAAACAAAATTGTATTGTTTTTGTTTACATATTTCTTTATGCAGCTACATAACCGGAAAGCAGTGCATTTCAAGTTTTCCTTCTGAAAATAGCGAAGATAAATAAAAATCATTATAACTTTTTATCTTCATACACGAAAAAAAAAGAAAAGTAAATATGTGTGATTAATAGAGGGAGACAGCATAGCCGTATGTCGTCGAACGGTTTACCAAGTCCAATGCCGATGGGGGAAATAAACTATTAAGGCAATTTATAATCTTATAAGCTTTTGATTTATACTAAGGGTCATATTTCAGATCTCTATGTACGCCTGCGTGGTGTGGCTCGTGGGTTCCTGAAATCGAGAAACCAATTTCAAACGATACAAAAACATTTAACCACCCAAAATCAAAATAAATATGCCCACAACGCAATACCACGGGATGTACGAAGGGACATCAAGCTTTTGGCTCAGCACAATCAGTACCGGGTCACAGATTGTATGCCATCCTTCTTTTTAATTATATATTAATATTCAGTCTTCTTAAATATTTGAGTACTTGTAGGTATTTAAATACTTTTTTTGTATTTCAAATGCTTTTCAAATACTTTTTGACCAATGTATTTTAAATACTTAAAAAATACTTTTTATTTGTATTTTTATTCTAGAATACTAAATACTTTTTTCCTTCTCGTGGTCTACTCCAAATTCCAATTACTAATAATTCAGAATGTACTCTTTTAAACTATGTTTATATTATTTAAAATAGTTCTAACTTCTGATAATTTATAAATAAGGTTTCGCCAAAATACAACCAGATAACAGAGTGACTGAACACTGAAACCCCTATCGGCTTCCCATATTACACCATGACACTGAGACACTGACCACCCCACTGGTTGGATTGGCATTTATCTTGAATCTTTAAATAGTCTTTCTTCTTATTAAATAGGTGGTACTGTCGTAGTAGTTAATAATTTGAATATACCTATAAAATATTGGTATTAATGTTGTTGAACTTTTTTTTTGCCATAATTATTTTCATATGTAAAATACTAAAATCTGTATAAAATATTTTTACAATAAGCACAATAGATGGAGGGATACATAAGGGGGTTTGGTTTGGCTTGATTAAAGAAAATATTCAATAATAGTACTTCATGGCATGGATAGTAGTGGTTATAGTCGACTAGTCATTGAATTGATTGAATTATTGATTATTAATTATTCATTTATTGGTTTTAAAATAAAGTATTTTTGTAAGTATTTTGAATACTTTTAAAAGGTATTTGTATTTATATTTAACCACTATAATTTCTACGTCATCGGCGAGTCAGCCGGAAATTCGTTACTTGTAATCGGTGACTATTTCCCCTTAAAACTAGAATCAGTGATAAAAAAGAAATTCGTTTTACCAAACCGATCACTTTGGTTACAAACCGGTCACTCTTTTTTGTGACCATCTCCAATTGACGGTTACAATTGATAATCCCCTCTCCTAATATCACCTCCCCTAATTAATGCACAATATTAATTTATCAAACAATGATAACATGATAAAAGATAATTATTTTGTTGTAGAAGGAGGTTAGCTATTATCAAATAAATATCTGGTGGAAATATCTTACCGCCGGTTCATTTTTTGTAGTATAACCGTCCACTATTAATTTGTCACCGATTTAATCTAACGAATTTTTGGTATGTAGTGTGAGAGAATCATCGCCATCGCCGATGTTTTCACGTCACCTCGAGTTCATTTCATTTCGGTTAAACGAGTATATTATATTATATGAGTACCTTATTTTCATTTTTACTATAGTATCATATTTGATGTATTTGACTTGATAAGTCAGACAATGTTGTACTTTAATACTTTGGCTATAGTCATATTAACATTCCCGTTTGTCGGGCAAACAATGTTAACTGATAATTGTTTTTATCTATTAAATAGGTATCAAATTTACATTATTCGATTTCAGAAAGACGATGATGAGTGTCCATTTACTGCTGGGGACTACAGTGTCAAATATTTAAACTGAATTCCACTGCTTGACACTTAAAATTTAAAAATCCCTCAGCATATTATCGTGCGAAAATAAACTATGTCCAAATAAATTTGTATGAATAAATGGTAATATGAAAAAATCCCCAAATCAAGTACATAGTTTTTAAGTTATAAGTAGGTTAGATACCTATACAATAATATAATATAATATTAATATAAATGCCCTAAAAACTATCCAAATATGTCATAAGATAATTACATTTAAACCTCAATAATGTCGTTAAAAAATACCTAAAAATTGTTTTAACAATTCTTGAACAAACAAAATTGATAAAAGTGCAAAATAAAAGTCAAGTTTTCAATTATCAGATGTATAAAACGGATTTTGTACTCGAAAAGCATTTCCTGCAGCATAGTCCCATAGGATTTCCCAACAAATAATGCATTTTGCATTTAATCCTGGCCTTAGTAATAATAATAATATTGACATATTGTCAGTCAGTATATAAGACATAGTTATTGGCACTCGCTTAAAGAAGTGGTTAGAAAAAATAAAAAATAAATTACTAGGTACCTATATTGATAATTTTAATATTATCCTAATAATATAGTCGGTCAGTAATGAAAAAAAGGTACTCAGTTCGTT